TGGACAGGATTATCCAATGGTAGGCCATATAAGAAGGTGTTGTTCATGTGCTCATCCAGGTCACTGAATGAACCCACCAAGGGGTCGAGGACAAACTTGATCCGCGGGCGTGTTGCGTGGACGGCGGCGTGCGATAGGATGAAAGAGTTGGTGGTGATCATGGCGCGCCATGCCCTGCTCACGAGGCTGAGTCTCGAGACGGACCGTGCTGGCAACCACTTGAGGACGTGGAACCAAGCTTCCATCACCGGTGAAGAGGAGACCATCTCCTCAACGTCGCGGCCCACAGGCACAAGACTCTCCTCGAACAGGCCGAGCGCCGGGTAGTCATACGTGTCATGGAAACTGCCGGCGATGGCCTCATCTGGCCGGAAAAGAATCTCTGGTACGCCTCCACCATTAAGGTCTACCGCGAACACCTTGCAAGTGCCCGTGCCAAACATGATCTTCTTCTCCAATCCATTGGCACCATTAGACAGACAGAGAGGAGCTATCCACCTCGACTGCAGCTGCGACCGCTGTGGCTCCGGCCAAGCCGCCCGGTCGATGCAACAAAGCTGCTCCCACCGTCGGGCCTTGTAATCACGCAGCAGCCATACATGGCACGGGTCGCCGCCGCTGAAGACGCATAGGCACCCGTCGAGCTCCGTCGTCCTGAGACTGAGAGGATCCTGCCCCGGAGGGCATGGGGGCAATGGCAGGGAACCAAAGGTCTCGTCCCTGACGTTGAAAGTGAGGATGCCACCATCGTAGCGGCAGAGGAAGTGCAGGTGGCCGTTCAAGAACACGGCCGGGTTCGCCTCCGTGACAACGCACATCGGAGGCTTGGAGGTGGCAGGCCGCCAGTACGCCGGCGTGTCACCGCCGAGAACGAAGACGTCGCAACACGGGGCATCAACGGAATTAACCTCTTCTTTGCTGAAGATACGGACTGCCTTGTACCGGTGGGTGTCCGAGCAGTAACCAAGGCCGTAAACCACATCCATGTAGTACGGGAGTGGATGCCGGAAAGTCTTCTTGGACGGCACTCGAGTGTCGGGGAGAGGAAGCACCGCGCCGGTGGACGGGTTGCAGACGTAGTAGCCGCCACTCCGGGCGCAGCGGCTTGGTGAGGAGGGCGGGACGCAGCAAGTCGTTACGCATCAGCTTCGTCGTCGCGCCGCCGGGCTGCCAGGCATAAAAGAAGTAGTCGTCCAAGGGCTCCTCCGTAGGACTGAAGAAGAGCTTTGGCCGGCCGGCGGCTGACTGGTAGTTTGCCCGCCGGAGGTGAAGCTCGAGGAAGCGCGCCGACGAGAGCGTGGCCTGCCATGAACGTGAGACGCAGCGGAAGCGCCCCGCGGACTTGGCCGGCAGGTAGGCAAGGATTTCCGTGACGACTTTGTGTGGCAAAGGCGACCTCTGTGCCGAGGCATCATCACCCTGCTGGTTCTCCTGCTCGTGCGCCGCCATCGATTCCTTGTGCGCTTAATTGCTCTGGGCTGTGGTGGCTTCCGATGATGCCCCGATCGATGGCTGCCCATGATGGCTCGATCTTATCTAAAACGGCGAGAGATCCAGGTTGGCTACGTCGCGAGTTGGTATTTGAGTTAGACTCGGTTTGGGCTCCCGTAAATTAGGCCGTTTTAGCGCGCGCGCAACGCGGCGGGTCGCTCCAGCGGGCGCGCAAAAACTACGCGCGCGCTATAACGGGTCGGGCGCGCGGTCGAAAACACTTAGACGCGCGATGTATTTCGGGCGCCCGCTGCAGCGCGCGGCACACTCCAGCGCTCGCGCCCGCACTTCCTCTCTCACTTCCACCCCCCGTCCGGCCGCGCCGCCGCCGCCGCCCGCGTCCCCCGGCGACCGTTCAGGCTTCCCCGGCCTATCCCCGCGCGCCCGCGCTTCCGCCCCATCCCCTCCTAGTCCCGCCGGCGCTCGCGCGCCTCCGTCGTCCGAGGAACAGCGCCCGAGCGCTCGCTGCCGCACCGCGCCCGCAAGGTGTTTGACAAAACGCCTACAAGGTATGTATTGCTCAAACTTCATGAATTTGATGCATGTTTTGAATTGTAGTTTTTATAGTATAGTATTGAACATTGTAGATGAGTTCGTCGTATGATTCTTCCGAAGAAGAATTTGATATGGAAGAGGAGGAGGATCTTGCAATGATCCTAGCTATGCATATATAAAAAAACCGAAGCACGGTGGTTCGGTTATGGGTCGGCAGAAAATTTGGAGGGATAGGATCGATGCCCACAACAGATTGATCAGGCATTATTTTGCGGAGAATCCCATATACAACGAGTCGTATTTTCGTCGCCGGTTTAGGATGAGCACCGAGTTGTTCAGGCGCATTGCAGAGAAACTAGCGAACCATGACCGTTTTTTTCAGCAAAGGAGGAATGCCGTCGGAGAGCTCGGGCATAGCACCTTTCAGAAGGTGACAGTCGCTTTGCGTATGTTGGCATACGGTATACCGGCTGATCTTGTTGATGATCACTTGGCTATGGATGAGAGCCAAGCCATCATGTGTGTCAAGCGCTTTGCAGTGGGAATTGTGCAAGTGTTTGGCGAGGAGTATTTGAGATCTCCCAATGCTGAAGACGTCGCAAGGCTATTGGCGATGAACAAAGCTCACGGTTTTCCTGGCATGATTGGCTCAATAGATTGCATGCATTGGAGTTGGAAGAATTGTCCAAAAGCATGGCATGGGCAATTCCACGGCCAAAAAAATGGTTCCACTATAATCCTTGAAGCGGTGGCCGATCAGGAGACTTGGATTTGGCATGCATTTTTTGGAATGCCTGGATCTTTGAATGACATCAATGTTGTCAACCGGTCACCACTGATAAATAAGATTGCAAACGGTGAGTTGCCACCGGTGCAGTTTGTAGCAAATGGCCGTACGTACAACTATGTCTATTATCTAGCGGATGGCATCTATCCAAAGTGGCAAACCTTCGTGAAGCCGTTGAAAAAGCCGGAAGGTAAGAAAAATTTTGATTTCCATAATGCTCATGCGGCGGCTAGAAAAGATGTGGAGAGAGCATTTGTGATTTTGCAAGCCCAATTTGCTATTGTGAGAGAACCGGCTAGATTTTGGGATCAAAAAATGCTTTGGTACATCATGCACGCTTGTGTGATCATGCACAACATGATCATCGAGAATGAGCGTGGCCAAGATTTAGACTACTCACAGTATGAGCTCTTGGGATATCCCATGCGAGTGCGACAGAGGGCTGAAAGGGTAGCCCGTTTTATTGCCTCCTATCATGCCATTCGGCGCCCCGCAACGCACAATGAACTTCAGAATGATTTGATTGAAGAGTGGTGGGCATGGCATGGACGACAAAGAGCATGATGATATCTGCATTTGACATTGTATTGTTCATAAACTATTTGTTGTGTTTATTGCATTTGTTGTACTGAACGATAAACTATTTGTTTGAGTTGTAATGATAATGAAATTGAACTATTTATTGTTGATTTATTTTGTTTGTTTGATCATTTTTGCTCATAATACATGTATATGTGGTTTCTGCGGCGCGCGCGTTGTATTTTTGTTGCTCTGCTGGGGCGGCGTGCGCGCGCTGCATTATAGCGCGGCTGCTGGAGCCAGCACAGGCGGGCGCGCTAAACCAGCCGAAGCGTGCGCGGCAAACAGGTTTTTTGCGCGCGGCGCTTAGCGCGGCTGTTGAAGATGCTTTTAAGGTTAGTTTCCTAGATAGTGTCTACGTGTTTGAGTAGTACTGGGTGTTAGCTACGTAGTGTCTACAACGTGTTTGAGTTGTACTACTTGAGTTAGTTAAGGTAGAGCCAGGCGTGTCCTAAACTCCTAATCATAGTAGTATTAGTAGGATTTGTAATGTACAATTAAAAAAGGCGGCTACTACAAATCAACCGGTTGATTTGATACAAAATTAAAACACCTGCAGAGCCATCCGATTGGTCGCATCTCAGCGGCAGGATGCACGTGCCATCTGAGCCACGCGTGGCCGCTCTCTCGCGATAGACCTTTGTAACAGAGAATGTGTTGTAATGTAGCAAGCACCGTCACAGCCATGCACGGCTGCTCGCTCGCGATAGAACCGCTGGCGAGCGCCGTGTCGGAGCACGGGTAGCCGCCGACGATGCTTCACTGCAGCGGAGCCGCCGGTGAGCGTTGCGTCAGAGCACGGGTAGCTGCCGACGACGCTTCACTACAGCAACAACACCGGCGCGGCGGCGTTCCATCGCAGCGCTGGACACCACCGGCGATGTTCACTGCAACACCACATGACAGGGTTGCATCGGTGCTCCATCGTAGCACCCGACGCCGGTGTGACGCTGCTCAATCGGTGATGTTGTACAGTAGCGCCGCCACGCAATTCAATGCAACGTCGGGGCCAGCTAGATTCTACTACTTGTTTGCTTAGCCGTGGCCACTTCATGCTGACTGAACCACGTTTGCTACAAATTGCAAACGACTTGACAATAAGAAATTCATTTGACCTGGCACTCATATATATTTTTTATCAAAAAAGCTTATGTTATTATTATTTTTGCGAGATCTCATATATGCTTTGTTACCATGATGGGAAGGTTCTACGCATCATCCCAATCCTTTCTCGACATGGCCGGGTTGCTACCGGCAGCCGTTGGGGTTTTTGTTATTTGAGAAACCGAAGAAGACCATTCTAAGGCGGGGCTCTTTTTTTAGAGAAAGAATACAAACTTTATCACATGCATCGCTTGTGCTTGTGGAGATGGCAAGAAGTTGACCTCCTCCACTAGCAAAGTATAGTACTGAAACACGCTAGCACCATCCTACCGAGATCTGATCTGATCTGATCCCTTCTTCTCACAAACCCACGTAATCAATGGATTGAGCCCTACGGTCTCCGTTGAATGAAAGGGGGAAAAGGTACAAACAGCTTGTTCGTTCCCAACAGCCAAATTATTCTCATCCTAACTTGCACCCCATAATGCTCACGTCAATAATTGATCTCTTGGTCTAAACGAACAGCGGCGATCGAGTAGGCGAAATGGCGCGCTCCAGCGTGTACCATGTTATGTTATGTACTGTACTTAGTATCCATACGACCATACTGCCTCCTGCCCTCCTCCCTCTCTTCACTTGCCCTGTGTGTGTCGGCCGGCAACCTGCCTCCCGCAACCTCGAGCTCCTCCTCTCCCGCAGCGGCGGCCTCATGGCTCACCACACGACGTACGTCGATCTCCACCATGCAAACGGTTATCTCCTCATCTCTCTGTTTTGTACCCCCACGAAATATCTCCGCTCTATGGATTGTTACTACTCATCGATGAGTGGTCGGATCCAAGCATTAACCTCCTGTGAGGCAACCACCGGCCACCGGGCGGACGGCGGAGGTGAGGCCTCCCTGCAACATGCAGCTTGGGCCGGACGCCTGGTTGTTCCCATGGCCTTTTCAGCGGCGGTGCCTCCTACCGTGGTCGGTCGCCATGGATGAGTGGAGCGAGCATCAACCACGATTACCGAAAATAGATTGTCGCTGCTTGCATTAATTCTTACATGTATTTACTGTTTTGTAGGCTCCGGTGGGATGCATTTGCCAAAGGTACTCCGCTATGGGATGTTGATCCGGTCCCTGGTGAACTGGTTGTTGGTTTAAATGGAGACATGTACTACATACCACCCGGTGATGCTCTGGTCTCCGCTTCAGGTGCCATGGCAGAGACGCCAAAGACGTTGGGCTACATCTTGGGGGAGGAAATCTGGAGTTTTCTCATGGGGTGGGATGAACAAGATCCTGTTGCCGATACTCTCTTGAGCCCGCCGTCACAGGCGCTGGATCTCCGGTGAGCTCTACGGTGATTATGTCCAACGGAACTACGGAAGGTGGTAGAAGGTTCAGTTCTACGTCCAGATTATAAAATGTATCCCACCTCTTATCTAATCTATCCATTTGAGATCCGGTGGTTATGGGGGAAAGTTTCAGATTTGCACTGAACGGTGGTTTTCACCTGCTAAGTCACCATGTGAATGATGATATGTGTTACTCCCATGCATCCCTTTTTGACGGTGGTTTGAGTATAATTTAGACTGAAATGCCCCTAGTTACAATTTTTTATTAGAGTATAATTTTTTTGTGGGGTATAAATATAATTACCATAGGCTAATTAAGGATTCTTCTAATTCTGGGCATTGATTTGAGTATAATTTGGGACTGAAATGGCCCTAGCTAAATACAAAGTTTGATTAGAGGAGTAATTACCTTCAGCTGACTAATGATCCTTCCAGTTCAAGACACTGTTTGACTATAATTTGGGACTGAAATGCATGTGGTTATAGTGTTGACTAGAGGACTAATTAACATGCCTAACTAATTAGGGTTGAGGGTTACACAGCCCACAGGCATTTTTTAAGATTCATACGACACAACTCAGAATGTGAGCAACTGGCACTCGAACTCGGGCAGGTTGGCAAGTATCAACAGCTGCTAATCATCCAGGTGGAGCCTCGTCAGCCGGTGGCTAATTAATGATCCCTTCAATTCGAGAGGGTTACTGTTTTATACTCTCCCTCCGTTTCATATTACCTATTCTGGTTTTGAACTAAAACCATGATAGGTAATGTTGAACGGAGGGAGTATTAACTAGTACTCGTAATCAGTAACAATTCACAGGTGATGGTGTATACGTAGTCACATACTGGTCGGGCATGAGAGACGTTGCAGGCTTGCAACCAGGTAGCAACACGCGCCGGTCCGAAACCAGCCGATTTGTGGCCCAGAAGAGGAGCCGGTGGTTAGCCAACAGCGAAACATGCAATTCACGGTGGAAAGATCAAATGTGCATGTCACTACAGACTAACCAACGGACATGCTAGGTTGATGATGCTTGGTCGATCCTAAGCTCCCTGGATCTGCTTCTTTAAGAAAACGATATCAAGCTTCGTGGTTTGTGCCATTAATTGGTGTGCCATTGGCAGGCTACACTATATGGTAGGGTAATATTAGTAGATTAGATGGCAATTGCATCTCCAAGCTATACTACTCAAACCATCGACAGATCTTCGGTATACTCTCTTACTAGGTTAATCTAGAATCAGAAAAAAAAAACTTTTTTGTATTAATCAAACGCTTCGTAAATCTAGTGCACTCGCGCAACACACCAATTTGCTTTGTGTGTTGGGAACACAACCCACAAGAGACGTCGTCAAGTCAAGGGACCGCATGAGACTTGCTATTTTGTTGAGCCCTTTTGTGCTTGGGGGCTGAACAAGGGACTATATTGGCCCTAAGAAGGAGAAGCATCATGTCCAACATCAAAAGTTTCATCCCTATCTTTCTCACCTCTTCCTCTTGTACCTCTACCTGACCTGCCTCCCGCGTCTTAATCTGCTCCAATCCAACCATAGATGTATACTAGCTAGTGTTGTTTCAAAAAAATTGTCCCGTACATATCAAAGGCATGGTGTACCCATTAAACGTCATTTACAAACACTAAAAAATGATACTCCCTCGGTCCCATAATATAAGACACTTTTACAAGCTAACATAGCTTGCAAAAGCATCTTACATTATGGGACGGAGGGAGTAATAGGTAAGTATGCACAACCTCACATGAAGTTTAGTGTTGATGCTTGTGACCGTATTGTACACCACCAAATCCAGCATATAGCAGCAACATGAAATAAGACGTTGTGACGCCAAAGATTGATCAGTTATGTGCAATACGAAGTGGTGTGGCGCCATGATCTGAAAACTACAACACTGACTTCGAATATAGAAATAGAAAAGAAAAGAGAAAGTACTAGAGTAAGCAACATCAATCTTGTGCTACTCCAAACAAAACTGCTGCAACATGATGAGCAAAACACTACAATTGGTAAAATACACGTACTGCAGCAGCAGGAGCATTAAAATATCCTAAAGATGTCCCCGACTCTTTCTTCTACCTGGCTTCAGATCTGAAAGTCAAGTACATAGGCGGACCAGCAGATCACTAGCTGCATCCGCTGCAGCCCACGTGGGCACGTGCTCCTCGCCCTCCGCCGCACTCGCCGTGCCCCCACGATGAAAGAAGATGCTCTGCAGCTGGGGGAGGAGGCCAGACTACATGCTCACCGCGTCCACCATCCCCGGCTACCGGCTTGGCACAACCTCGCCAGAGCTGCACTCGAGCGAGCCCTGCAGTCCAACGTCGCTAGAGAGAAAGAGAGTAGAGTGATAAGCGCGTGGGTTGGAACGGATAAGGATTGAAGTGCTGCCGGGGAGTGTCAGGAACGCGTGGAGGGTTCTTGTTTTTCTTCCTGCCGAACGTCACGCGGTTTCTATTGTTAGAAATAAAGCTTTAGGTTTATTGCAATAGGACCATTTGCCTAGCATTAGATAACTAGGATATGATTAACAGAGGGGTTCGTGAGATCTTACAGGCTTGTTCGATGCAGGCACATCGGAGCCCGTGATCTCCAGTGGCGAGGATGAGCAGCAACAGTGGCACCGTGATGATGTAGTCGTGGAGAGGCAGCAACTCATCCAGGAGCTTCACCGGTGGCAGCGAGAAGCAGAGGCCTCATTCGATGGCAAAGCGCACGGGATCCAATCCGCTGCACGCTTGGCCGGCGAGCGGAGCTGCCGCGCCGCCATGGCTGGCGAGCTCCCCGGGCCGCCGCTGTTGGCGCCGCTCTCTACGGGAGCGTAAAGATCGGGGAAGGAGGAGAAAAATGTGCTAGGGTTCCCACCGGCAGATGTTTTGTTCTGGCTGGGGATGATCCGGACCGTCGACTAGATCGAACGGCTTAGATCGGAGCGGATCAGCTGCTGGACCTTTGAGCGGATAACGGGCCTAATCTGACCATGGGCTGAGGCCCAGTTTGTCTAAACCCGGAGAGTTTTTTCGTTTTCTCTGAGAACTTTTCTCCTGGGCTGAATCAATAAAAGTCTGTCGTGGTTTTCATCGGCCAAATTTTGATGTCCTATGTATTCTCCTTTTATTTAGTGCCTCTCTGTATTATTTTGATTCTCTAAAGATCTTGCACTGTTTAAAAAAATAGATAGAAAATTATGTTTTATGTTTACAGAATTGAAAGGAGCCAACAAGAAATTTTATTTGGTATTTTTGACACATGAAATTTAATGTTGAGTATCATTTTAAATATCAATTGATATTGAAAATTAATGTTGTCAAATTGATATTTAATCTGAGAATGATATGGCCAATATGTATGATGAAGAAACTGTTTTACATTACAAAATGCATGAATATAAAGGGGGATATAGTGCTATAAGATTAATGTTGATGCCATTTCTTTTATAGAATTTTAATGTTGAATTATGGATAGTATGATATGATGTTTCTTTTAGCATGATAATGTGTTACTCTCTAAAGTTTATGGTTTTATGTTTGGAGATTTTATTTGATCGTGAAGTTTATGTTGTGATCACCTCTTATAAGTTGTGACTATCTTAAGGAAATGTTAGTGACCGCGTGGTTTGGATTTTCCGAATCGCACTACGAGGTCTAATGATGATTAGCCATAATGCTGAAGTATTATGTCAGGTGCATTTTATGTCTTTTGGCATGCATTAACAGAAGGTGATGGAGGCTTGGCATGTTGATTCACTGGACAAGAATATTTAGAAAATTTTAATGTCATATCATGGTCATAAGTTGTCATTTATTGACTATTAAAAGTTTACCAAATGTTATTATTTGGTGAAAGCATGGTGTGATATCCAAATCTTGTTTGGAGAATGTTTGTGATGTCATTAAACAGAGGATGTCAATCTATTGTTTACTCTGTGAAATGAAATGTCATGATGAGAATGTTCAAAATGAATGATACTTTTGTTATCATGTCATCTGGGTATTTAATGATAAACTTGACAAGTTTTATTGATGTTATTGAGATTATGATGTCAAAGTTAAATGCAGGATGATCAATGATAAATTATTGAATAGATTTGTTTGATAAAACATTGGGTTGCATCATGTATATATGCTTTATGATAATGTTTGCTATTAATTTAGTGAATGAGTTTACTGGTGATTATGTGATTTTAAGTTTTCCTAGTCACAGTGAACACATGAAGTTTTGATTATGATTTATGGTATATGGCATTATTCTGACAAACGTTGAATATTGTCATGTCCCATTCTTGAATGGATAATGTTCTTTTCCGTTTTCAACCCAACGATGATGCGGATTAGAACACGATTAGCTTGTTTTGATTTAGATCATTCACGTTTTATTATGTTGATGTTTAATAATGATGCTCATAAAGTGAACGCCCTTGTTTCTGTAATGGACCTCAAAATTGAGTTCATTTATCAGAACAGGCTGATCTTCACAAATGGAAGGAAAGGACTGTCTTTCGTGATAGAGAGTTTTGACCTTTATCATGCACCCAGAGTTCCTATTGTGAATTCTGTCGAAGAGAGGGAAAAGTAGGACATAGAAGCTATGAAATGAGCAAAGTCGAACCGATGTTGACTCCTTATCATGAAGCATACCATCTCCTCTGAGATAAAAACACAATTCCCTTCTTATATATGCGAATGTGTACTTGGCAAGCATACCATCTCCTCTGAGATAAAAACGCAATTCCCTTCTTATATATGCGAATGTGTACTTGGCAAGCATACCATCTCCTCTGAGATAAAAACGCAATTCCCTTCTTATATATGCGAATGTGTACTTGGCCTCCATTGAGGAACACTTTAGAGATATTTTACCCGTTGAAGACGGACTTTAAGGGGTTTTGCTACGAGGACAATAAAGAATAAAGCGTTAGAAGACATTTTGTTTATTCATGTGAACCTTTTGTTCTTCTTAATGCAACATTTTGATGATGGTCTTACCATGTGGTGAGAATATTTATGAATGAATTATTTGTAATAAAAATATGTGCCATGTCACTCTTAAGATGTAAGTGAATAATGAGACCTCGTCAAAATTGTGGTCATGTTTACCACATTTCGAAAAGGGGAATGGAATGTCTCATTGAATATCGAAAATGATGAATGTGTTAATTCTCCGAGTAGGATGGAACCAACGGGAAGTCTTATTTTGGAGAATGAATTATTATAGTGAATGAAAGATCATATGAATGTCTTGACTCTTTTTTATGAGAATTACATGTACTTGCTCCCTTATGAGAATTATGAAGCACACATGAATGTTCAAGTGACAAGCTTGCTAATCTAAAGTTGATTATGATGTAACTCGTGGTGATATTTCTGACCAACGTCGTTTATAATCACGTGTCACATTTCACTCAAGTGGAAAGTTTGTCACGTGGCTCATGGTTATATTTCTGACCAACGTCGTTTTATAATCATGTGTCGCAACTCATGAAGTTCTTTCCCATCTTCTGCCCAACTGTGTTGTGGTTTAGAGCTGAGATGATTGTCATCAAGATTTTGGATTTCCCTTGGAGCGTATGAACATGAATCTGAAGGATAACTCCATTAGATCTTTGTTCATATGCATCAGGCAAGTTGAGAAGAAATTCCTAATGCAACACTTAGTGTTGAACGTTTCAACTTCCCTGTGATTGGTAATGTGTGTGAATGATCATCTTAGCGCCTTATTGCCATATAAGATGAAAAATTATGAACTCTAATGATGTAACTCGGTAGAGTTTTCTCAGTGCATTGTTGCGACACTTGTGTTATTATTTATAACATGCTTTTGTGTTGGCTTAGTTTAAAAAAAATGTATGACTCAACCGTAAGGTTTCGTTATGAAGATAAAGTTGGCATAAGACATGTTGTTCAAAGAAACACAATTATGAGATAATATAAGCGTTGGGACACTCATACCATAAGTCGAGGGGGAGTAAGCTCACTAATTGTGAAGATGGAATATTTTTGGCGAGCCAAGAATATTCTATCTTATATTTATGAGTATGAGTTTTGGTGATGCCTCATATTTTGCTTGTATTGAGTTGCATCAAGATATTGGTCCAAAAGGAGTATAAGTATTATTATGATGACATACATGAGTGGAGTACGAAAAAAATGATTATGTACTAGTACTCTACCTCACCTGCTATTAAAGTTAAGGGCGATAAAAGTGGATATCTTAGTGTCCAAGGAACCATTATGAACTGATCAGATAATGTTGGTTTCTTATGCTTCAGTTGTCAGAAGCAATATAAGTATTCAAGTACGAATGTGCACTATTTATTATCGGGATAATTGGCAAAAAAAAATACAAGTTCAGAAATGGACCACCGCAAAAGCAGCCAAAAGTCTTGCACATATGCAAGGCAATAAAGTTTACATGCTCACTAATAAGAAGTTTGATAACCTCGATATCCTGGGTTATTCAGACATTGGTTCTGCGAGATGTGTGGATATTAAAGTTTCCACGTTATGTTACATCCTCACTGTCGCACATGGAGCTTTATCGTGGAAAAGCTCCATGATGACACTGATGGCATTAGAAATAATGCACTTAATTATGTGGCATGTTAAGAGGCTACTGATCAGGTTGTATGTCAAGAAATTTTATTCCCGAAATTATGGTGGTAGACAATTTTTTTTAACCACCTACTGCAATATGAACACGCAGTTTTCTATGCGAGTAATAACAAGTTAAATGGTATTGCCAAAACCATTAATAATATGTTTAGTGTTGTGAAAGATAGAATACAGGATCAAGCTATGGAAGTTGAGCGTACGAATACGATTGAATGTTTTACGGATCCGTTTATTGAAGGCTTACCACCCAATTGTATGATTATGTTGCTAGCATGGGTTGTTGTAAAGCCTTTTGATCCTGGAAGCAAGGACCTTCTAAATAAACCACTCCCTTTAAGAAATATGTTTTCCATGTTGAAATAGGCTGATGTATTATAAGTATTGAGGTTCAATGGCATTTCATTGGCTGTTGTAACACCTTACTTTTATATATTATTTCTATGGAGAATGGATGAATGAAGTTGAGCCTAATGATCAAGGGGGAGAATGTTGGTTGATCTCGGCTCTGACCGGGTAAAAAGTAAACGTTAAGGGGATGTGCCACGAACCAACGTACGTGGTTGTGACCCCAACAGAATCGCCCTGATCGGGGGCACCTCTAACCGACAGATGGTTTTGGTCCCCTATTGCCAGCACACATAAAAAGGGTGGGCCCTGGATACTTATGTGATCTGAGTTCACGTACATGACATCAAGCCCCTGAATTCCCTCAAACCCTACCGATCTAGGGGTGTGCTGAAGCAATGGGAAGGACGTTTCCATCGCCGGCCGCCGCAAGGCTGTGCCGGCGGCTTCTCGCTGCCACCGGTGAAGCTCCTGGATGAGTTGCTGCCTCTCCACGACTACATCATCACGGTGCCACTGTTGCTGCTCATCCTCGCCACTGGAGATCACGGGCTCCGATGTGCCTGCATCGAACAAGCCTGTAAGATCTCACGAACCCCTCTGTTAATCATATCCTGGTTATCTAATGCTAGGCAAATGGTCCTATTGCAATAAACCTAAAGCTTTATTTCTAACATCTATCTCTCATCTTCCATTGCTGTAAGATGAAATTAAATTTTAAGCTGATGTTGTCAGTCAAATAGCCATGAGTAGTTGTTTCTATGCTTTTGATGCAACCGAAGATGCTACCTGTACAAAATTACAGTTTCCTTCCTTGGTTATCTGAACCAAAGTTAGAAGTATCATGTAGATTGAGCAGTGAGCACAAGATATGTTTGAGCCAGTCACAGGCCATAAACCTCATAATTCCTCTGTTTTCTCTGCAAGTGAGGGAACCTGGCTTCAGTTTGTGAACTGTGAACATCTTGCTTCAGTTTTTCCTTCCCCCCCTTGTTTGTTTCATCTTGAAAAAACACTCGTCATGCACCAAGCTTCTCAGTCAGCTGAGGGTAAACAAAAAAACTAACATTCTTTAAAAGAACTAATGCCATTGTGACTGTTATTGTCAAGAACCAGACTCCCTTTTCAGTGATTACCCAGGGATAAGCACAAGGCTCGAGACATGGTCAAACATGAAACTGTGTTATGGAAATTTCTTATGATTTAGTTAGATGAAAATACTGATCTGACACTGAATTTCCAGTTTACAAAAGCTTCTCTTTGGTTTTCTAAAATTTAGTTTGCTGCTATCGTAAACCCTAAATAACCATGGTTTCTTCTTGTGCTACGACAGGGCGGCAAGCATCATGACAGGGCCACAGAAGAAGAAATAACACTGCTATGCTGAGCCAACTTTTGTTTGTGTCATGAAACCAGATACAACTCCGTTCCCGGGACTGAACTTGGCCCTCGCCGAGTACATGTAATCATTTGTGTGCTGTAAATTAAGGCCTTGAAACGTTTGGTGCTTCATCTTGTTTGTCTATGCTTCATCTTTTTTGTCTATAATTCGTTAAAGTGTTTGCCTATCCTACATGCTGCAGCACTGTGTTTTTTGTGTTCGCATTAAGTTGCCAGTTTCTTTGCTTGCGCAGCAACATCATGCGTTGCATATGCTGACTATACCTTCACGTGTTACGCCAAAATGTTCTGAATGAACCTTCACGTGTTACGCCAAAATGTTCTGAATGAATTTACAGCACCCGACGTAGATTACATATACTACGACTGGACCATCTTTTTGAAAAGAAGGAGCTTATAGAGTAACAAAATAATAACTTTGTCACAAGCGCCCGATGCCGTCATCTTCAGAATTCTACAGCAGCAAGCACAGCTTCAGAAGCATCAAAGATGATGACAGGATAGTTAATATACACATTAACTGAACCTGGGTTAACATGGCTGAGCAAAATTGCGGCCTTGTTCGATTCAATGGGGTCAAAAGGGAGGGGGGACAAAAGAAATAAGAAACAAAATAATCCTATATCCTGTCAATCCATCATCTATGGCCTGCAGGAAACATATACAGGTATATTGTACCTACACCACTACATTTGTCAGGCTATGTAAGCTTCCGCCTTCTTCCCACACGTCTCAGGAAAATCGGCGAAACAAATAACTCTGCTGCTGCTGCCGCCGCCGCCACCAGGTCGCCGTTTTATTTATTTCGCAACTTGCAATCCGGTTAACATGCGACGGCCAACAACAATTTATTGCATTTTCATCAACAAATCTTCTGCTCAAGAAAACCTAGGAGGTTAATTTCTGATCCGCTAGCATTCCATGGCACAGGCTCCAGTAGTAAGCATTTTGGCCTTGCCCATGAATTCTTTTAGATCCCTGAAAATGGAGTTACAGGAAAAATCATCACAAAGCCCAAGAAAAGAGATAATATATATTGAGTGATGCAACTATGCATTTGGAGAAAGCAGCTGCATAATGCGGATGAAGCATGAATTTACCTGCATCTGGGAACTGAGCAGTCCCCGTGATCACACTGTTTTGAGTGAGTGAGCAGAAGTCTCCACATGAAGACACAATTCCTGCAACCTCCTTGGTTCCGGATAGCACATCGTACACCATGGTAGAACAACTTCTTCATTGTAACACACAGTTTGAAACTGCAATTATGCGGATCGTGGAAGCATTTTGATGCATGCACCAAGCTCTCAAGGTAGTCCTGCTTTGAAAACATGAAGTTCATTAGTATGGAACAGCGGGGAAAAAAATCATTCTAACAAAAGACAATTAAAGAAATTTATTTTAGAACTACACAAGAATCCAAAATAAGGAAAATCATCACATTCACAGAACCGTACCAAAAAAAGGATCATATTCCAAACAATACAAAAAAACTAATCACAGAAATCGTCCATAAATTAGGTAAGAGAACAAAACAAAAGAGAACTAGACTATCCAGTTAGAAATTTAACATCCCTTTGGGATTGCGGTGGATTGTGATAATCCCGTTTGTTTAACAAGCATTTGAATATTTGACTGTTTGTTGAAATAAACTTTTTCATAATTCTGTAACTATTTTTCCACAACACTGCAGAATAAGTCCAGCACAGAACAGTCCAACACAAAACTGAGACTTAAAACAGATACCTGCAGAGTGTAGTTTGGCAGTAGTTGCTGATTGTCCGCCTGTTTGAGTTTATGTATGTGCAAATTTTCGCCGTCTTGTTTATAGCATGAATCACAAAACTTGCAGCCTGCGCAAACCAGGCACCGCCACGCAAAGCGTTGATCCATTGCCCGGTGACAAGCAGAGCAAGCTGAATCATGTAGATTATAAAGAATCATCATTGTTGAGTGTTTTGCCCGTCGGAGTGTATCAAACTGGTATTGATTGTCTTGACAATGCTTCAAGAAATCTGTTCTGCTGTCAAAATACTTGCTTTCCATTGTTGGATCTCCATCATCAGTCTCTGGGAGAGGTTCTTCCTCTATCTGTAGAACAATTAGTTACTCTGGTAAGTACAAATTTCATCATAAATTTACCTAATAATAGCAACGTGAATATTTTGCTTGCTTTATTTGACTGATGAAATGAACTTAAAACTATAGCAGAGTTTATAATAGTACTCTTTGAAAGGCATGCTTTTGTTTTGTTGCAGCTGGATGCCTGTTCTTTTGTGGGGCACTTAGCTCCTCTGCATGGCATCTACAAGGAAGAACAGGCAAAAACATCATCAGTAATGGGTCCTATCTCAATGGAATGGGTAATTTATCAAGGAACAAAAACTGAGAAATTAAAAAACAGGGGTCATGTTAAGTCCATTTTGCAATTTGAATGACAGATGATCAATTCAAAAAGAAACTGGAGGGCCTGGGCGCTAGATGATAATACGCCTGTGCAGTTGGATTTTTCATAAGAAAAGGCATTCTCACTGCTGCTGCTTTACTAAGCTTTATGTGGTCATAACCTAGGACAGCAGATTACGTAAGTATAAGATAAAATAATAGTGATCGGATGAAATACTTACTGGTCACAAAGATGGAAGTTTTTGCAGCAAGTACACATCCAACTTTTACCAGATAAAATAGGTTGGTGGCAATGCTTGCAAAACTGCTGCAGACAAAGCATAATAAAGTCTTCTTTCATTGTTCTCATCTTTTCTCCAAGCTACCAACAATGAAAAATATGGTGTCAGTGCTGACGTTATAGTGAAAGGGGGATTAAACAAGATTAAAGTAAACTAACTTTGTGCACTAACAAGATATCCTCAGGGTTCCCTTTCCTGTCATCACGTTTGGCAACCCGTAGGGCCCTTCCTGCTTGTATGTCGTTCTTCTGCGAGGTGTCGTCGTCTTTCTTCTCGAGGAGTTTCTCTGCTTCCCCAGGCCAGAAATCATTCTCACAATATGGCAAGCATGCTGCAGAAATAACGGCCTTGCATTCACTGGTAGGCTGAAGAAAAAAATCGTACAGCGTGTTACGCTCCACAACTACACCCTCCCTAACAGCCTTCTTGATCAAGTTCTGGTACCTAAGAAGATTCATGAGAAAGCCCAATTTAGTACCATAAACAAATAATAAGGATTAAACCGTAATTATTATGTTATAAATACTGACCAGCTCCGAAGTTTGTCAGACCTCGGCATTTTTTGTGCCGTGGGATGACAATACAAAACATAATCATCACGCTTTGTAGATGGACAAGCCCATATGGAGCAGCTTACAAACCCTTGTTTCTTGCAGTAATCCAAATAGCCAATCTAAAGGAAAAATATATCGGAAGAATTTGAGCTCAACATGAAATCAAGAAAGTTAATATTAGATGAGTATTCGCATTTCTCGTACCAAAATTTCATGGTACACAAAGGTACGGAGAGCTTCGCCACTTGCAGATTTGATTTCAGGCCTGAAGTACTTGACCGAATCGATATATGCAAGATAAATGTGCCTTTGATTTGGTGAGGGGCTAGCAGAACCATACTCTTGTACATACATGGCAAACAGACAAACATCCACGCCTTCATTCTTTTGAAACAAGAGAATGGCCTGTACAGAACAAAAGGCACCAAAAGTTAGCCCTCATTATGTACTAAATAGCTGAAATTATTGTTAACTTGGATAAGGACGAAAGAATTTGTCAAATAAGGTATCACCCAATCACCTTCGATTTGTACGGAAATTCACCAGGGTAGTTTCCTTGTTTAAAAAAATCCCGAAAACGTGGTAGGACTTGAAGTACTCTTGCAGCAGAAGAAACCACTCTAACAGTAAGACCTTCAACTTCAGGTACCTAAAATATTGGAGTGCAAAAAGAAAGTTGCAATAAGTTTACTCCATAGTTAACATCAGACTGCAAAACAATTCCTAGAGACAGGCAAATAATATTAAGATCAACACAGACAGACTGAGGAAACATCAGCAATCAGAACTCATTTCATTATAATATGACATGAATCAAATTATCTCTATTCGAATCCAATAAACTCAATCACACAACTTGACATAGTTTAGAAAAGAAGATCCCGAAATGCAACAAATATTACCCAATTATATATACAGATAATTACTAAGTCGACAGAGGAAGATTGCAAATTTACAATGAAAGAGCTAATGTGTAAGTTCGAACGACATGGATCAAGAAGAGCAAGTAGCTCCTGGAAAATAATAATAAAGTATTAAAACAGGAATGTGATAGGTCTATGGTTAGTTGTATGGTCAAGAATTGCTGATAATATGGGAGTTATTTTGTATGTAGTAGAAGCCCACAGGATAATCACAAATATAGCACAAATACCTCTTCAACACTTTTTCCTGAAGCCCTTGCCCTCTGCAGCCGCTCATGCTCAAGCCGCACTGAAAGTCTCTGCTCGATATGATCGCTCAGTTTAGTTCTTGGTAACTCTAATGCTCCTAGAACAGCAGATGACTCCAGCAAATTTTTATCTCCGCTATCCTTCTCCTTCAATAAACATTTCGCACATGTATACTCCACCCCCTCCTCCATAACCTTAGGGTTAAAAAGGGCACATATTTGATGCTGCCACGCTTTGCACTTATCACACGCAACCCACTGAAATGGCACAAGTTGAACAAAAGATGAGGAATTTGTATATGATTAAGAATAAGTAGAGAGATGTAAGAAAAGCACATTACCCATTCAGACTCGGCATCTGTTTCTGCATAATTGGATCTCCTTTCATATTTAGCTTTTGCATTACTAACATGGTGGTGACATTTGGCACATATTGAAGTCTTATCACTTCCATTTTCCACAGGAACATAATAGGATCCCGTCGAATTTATTACTTTAAAACACAGAGCACAGAATCGTGGAGGAGGTTCAAAAAGAAGCCGCTCCATCCCACATAAGTTGCATGTATTTTGGTCAGGCAAGCCTGACTGGTCCTCTTCTGTAATCGCCTTGTTCTGAAAGAAGGAAAAACAATTGAGACAACGAATATGACCTATAGCTCAAAATAACTAAATATTATGTACTATACAGGCAATCCAGCTAACATGATAAAACAAAAACTATTCTTGAGCCTGACTCAAGTGAAATTACATAACTACGTAATTTTGCATATTACTAAGTGGCATAATCTGTAGATATTCTAGCACAACTAAGGATCAAATGATATACTGATATTACAGTAATAGAAAACCGATGAGATCCAACAGGCTCTGAACTCACCGGAAAAATATGCTGGCCCAGACTTCTCATGTGATCTCTAAGCTCCTCAGCAGTTAAAGGATAAAGTATTGAGCCCCCTCTTTTCTTCCTTGTAGTTAGGCTGGCTACTAGTGATGTTTGATCCACTGGGCTAAGCTTAGAGTCCTTCATCTCGATGTCACCATTTTCATAACACAACCCTTCTTCAGCTTGCACAGCAGTCTCTTGCAACCTAAAATTCTCCATGGTATTGCTAGCATTGCTGTCCTGCAAGGAACAGCCAGATGGCGACTTCATAGATAATACTGTGGTTTCAGACTTTACTGTTTCAGAAGATGCATGAGGCCCATTGGCAGCAGGCTGTTGTTCCTTTGGAAACTCTATTTCATCGGCATGGACAGGAATGGGGTAATTAACCTTTAATCGTTTTGCCGGATGATGCTTGCCAGAAGATTCATCTGAAGCAGGTGAATTTGGCTTTGATACAGTGCTATTTGATGTCTGTTCAGCTCTCCCCACTACCTCTCTTACAGTGACACAATTACCAGAGTACAAGTCATGGCCTCCAGCTGTAATATTTGACTGATCTGATTGCTCTATTGGGTGACTCCAAGTATATAACATTTCCTTGCATTCTCTGTACTGTAGAGACGATGATACTTGGCCAGTGGAATATCTGTTGTTATTTGTAAAATTAGTGGTTCGGTCACACATCCCAGACACAGAACTGGAACTACCAGATGTCGATGGTTGTGGACTACCAACTTGATGAGCATCACCTGATACAATTTGATCATAATGTTTAAGATGCAAAATAGCTTAAGCTAAGTTTCATACATAACTCAAGTCAAGGTAAGTAAAAACTGACCTGGGAAATGGTCTTCTGTATGGCCAGTAGGCGCTCCACCACTGAAATCTCCAGCAGGACAGGAACTATATTTTGGTAGTGATGACATACATGGTGCAGCAGTGGTGTTTGCTAAGCTTTCAGGACTCCGTTTAATGTTATCAGCTGAAGAATGAGCAAAGTCGGTGGCAACTTCATGATGATTAGTTGGTGCAACTTCATGATGATTAGTTGGTGCAAATCCTGCTAAAATAAACCCAAAGTTAAAATTCTGAAGTTGTATTGTGAGGTCAAGATCGAAACTGATCATCTTAACTCACCCTGAGGATAAAACACATGATGTATACTTGAATCTGTTGCTTCTACCCCAAGCTGTCCTGGGTATGATGTCGGTAAAGCTGCTGAAGAAGCCCAAGCATATATACTGTTGCCAAATGATCCACAACTGAGAAGAGCATTTACCCTAACTTCTAAAGTTTCAAAATCCATGTATTGGATCTGAGAGAAAAAAGTAGGTGTTAGCAAGTCATTCAGAATTATAATAATATGATTTAAACGACCAAATTCCATGAGTACATCACATCATCTAACAGTACCAGTACCATGAAAGGAAAACATAAAAAATTACAAGAATAGCTTAAAAATTGACAAACAGTTCCAAGTTCAGCAGAGCATGATTAAAGATAGCATCTAAAGATGATGTAACAAGAAAGCAGAAGAACCCCAAACAAAGCACCGAGTGAGGTCAGGGACAATTATAGTGAAACAGAGGAAAGAATTGTATTTGCAACAGGACACAACACAAACCTTTGATTCAGCATCCTTATAAAGCTGCTCGTCAATACTTTTTGAAACTGCCACAAGATAGCGTGTGTCCAAGTTGTAGAACTCCTCTCTTCTTTGCAGGTAGTTTGCACTGGATAGATAAAGAGATCAAGATGTAGTGTGAAAACAGGAAATGTCAATGATAAATTATTTAGACAGACAGAACCACTTCATTATTTTTTCACCTCTCTAACACCCCGAATTATCTACTATGCATGGGTTTCAATCAAACAACAAAGTACAGAGACGATATTGTCATACATAGTATGTCAACATATTTTGCATGGACGTCTATGGCTGATGTCCACTAGTACAATAAGACACAACTGACAATTCACGTTGCCCAAATTTTATAAAGTTTCTCCAGTGACTGAAAATTGTAGTATATATGTAGAAAAAGACCCAAGGCATTGCAATCATTCTCAAGAAGTACACAACAATGCATACCACAAGAATATGAACAATGACACAATTGTCAACACAGCTAGAAAAAAAGGACCTACAATGTAACCATTGGTATTAGAATACGCATTGCTGTGGATATTGGTGGTTTCAGCACTTACATTCTATGTTTGATCACGAGACGGACTGGAGAAGTATCTGAATCCATATTATCCAGCTGGAGAACTTGCGCTGCAGTCTGTGTGCGAGGTTTCTGGACAGTAAAGCCACTTGGTGCATACTGCTGCTGGATCCCTTGCAGGGTTTGCGTCATCATCCTTCTAAATCACTTAAAATCAAAATATTTAAGTTAGTTTCAGACTTATCAGCAGCTACAACCACCCCATATACAATAAATGGTCAGGGCAAATGGTAATAAGCAAGAACAAACCAAACAATTAATATATTAATATTAATACAATACAAAGCAGCATTAGATAATTGGTACGGGCAAAAGGTCCATTTTACCAAGTAAACATCAAACACGCCAACCACCGAGCCCCACATGCATGACTAACAACAAGCACTTCAGCCTTATACTAAAGTGAGTTTTATAACCAGTAAACTATGACTAACAGCAAGCACACAAACTGTATCCCAGGCTTAACCAGTTGAAAGAACTGAAATTTTTCCTCCTAACTAAAATCTATCACATGAAACTAGCCACTGATAAGGGAGAAGAATTATGTGCATAGAAAAATGTGAGCAAGAAGATTGGCATTGCTAAATAAAAGTAAAACCAATGTGACTTTCACATCCAGGAACTACACTGCGCATCATTTAAGTAAGAAAATGTACGACCTTAAAGGACACATTCATGTTTAATCAGCAATGCCATCCTCATTCAGTTAACACTCTGGTTACAGAATGGCCGGGCGAGCATAACAAGTACGACTAACAATCACGGCCTATGCTACAAACACTATGTTTTTCCTAATTAAAACGAGATTGGTTTCGGTCGACAGCGCCAGCAGCTCATCAGACCAGCAGCGCGTGATACGTACGAGCCACGGAGAAGTGAGGGGCGCGGGGGAGGGGGGGCAGAGGGCTTACTGGGGAGGAAGAGGCTGCCGCCCGTCGTCCGCTTGGCCGGAGGAGGCCGCCGCGGCTGCGTCGACTGCCTCGGCTCGTCCGCGCGGCGTCGCCGCCTAGGGTTAGGGTTTCGTCTGCCTTTCGTCTCGGTCGCGGCTGCGGCGGATCGGACGGTGGAGGCTTGTGATGGCTGTGGACCGCGAGGATCGGGGTTGGGGTTGGGGTTGGGCCGGGATTCTCTCCGCGAGCCAGATATCGGCCGTCACCCCGACTTCTTGGATCAGTCGGAAAAGGGGAAATTTGTCTCAGAGAAAAAGTCGGAAAAGGGAAATTGGGTGGGCGTCACAACTGGAATCAATCTTGGGAGTTCGGTAGCATAGTATAAATAACGAAAATACAAAGGTGAACATGGTGCGCACGCACCCATGTGAATAGTAAATGGAAAACATTTAATATAAACCGGATGATTTTCTGTCCTCGTAAGCCGTCTGCTACGCGTGCCACGTGCCCCATCAGTCCACGTTTTTCCTCCCCCAGCTTATCCTTTCCTGGCGCCTTCTCATCCACTCATCGGTCTCCTCATCTTCTTCCTTTGTTTTTTCCCCTCCACCTGCTACTGAAAGGAAGAGGCAACGCCGGCCAAATCCATATCAACGCATGCTGCATGGTGAAGCTCCCACCCGGGGGGACTGCAACGGCGGCCGCCGGTGTCGCAGACAATGAAGCATCCACCATCGCGGTCGCATCGTGCCGCGTCGCAGCAACCCCCGTCTTCATCGTGCTGCGTGTAGCAACATCCACCCGTCGTCGCGTCGCCGTCGCGCTGCGATGGAGCACCAACAAGCGGTGGGGCGGTGGAGTCCGCCATGCCGGTGCGGGCTGCAGCGAAACATCGTCGGTGGCGTCGGGTGCTGCGATGGAACATCGATGGACCACCTCCGCGCCGGCGTCAGCGCTGCAGTGAAGCGTCGCCGGCGACGGCGCATGCGCGCCGCAGGGCGCGTTGAAACTTCGTCAGAGTTGCATTGGAAGCACCATCGGCTTGCAATGGAGTGCCTCCGGGGTGATCGGAGCTCCGCCGCGGCTATAATGGAGCTCCGCCGCGGTTGCAATGGAGCTTCATGGGAGCTGCAATAGAGCTTCGCCTGGCCTGCAATGGAGCCCTGCCGTGGCTGCAATGAAGCTTCGTCGGAGATGTCGTTGATGCAGCGTCGATGCATTTTTTGTGCTTGGTGTTGCCACGGCCATGGCTGCAATGCAGCAGGTCGGTGCTCCCGGAGCGCCCCCCGGCGCTGCAATGGAGCGATGTCAGTGATGCAGCAGTCAGCGGCGGCTCTTGGAGATGCGTTGCTGTGCGCGTAGACGGCCTCGATGCCACAGCGGGTGCTGCGTTGGTCTGGTGAAAGGGGATCAGAGGAGGAAGACGTGAGGTGGGGCTGTTTTGCTTGGATCGAACGGCCACCTAGCACTAGATCGGATGGCTACCCAGGTGGATGATTTCTCAGAGATATCATCCGGCTGATTCGTAGCATCATAGTAAATTCATAAAAAATACAAAAAAAATAAAAAAACATACTGAAATTTCGTGGTATGAAACTTAGTCATTCACGTGTGAAGTTTCATGATGTATTGACACCCATATATTTTTAGTGAAGAAAATACAAATGCAACCATAATATTCATTAAACAGTGTTTTTTTATATTAGTGTTAATATTCATCGCCCAGGGTGCAGAATAAGTTATTCTTCACCCGAGATAATCTTATAATCGCTTCCCAGATAAATTACGTTTAGAATATAAATAGTTACATGCATAGTGATTCAATATGTAAAATTTGGTACGAGAAATGCGAATACTCATCTAATATTAACATAGTTTCGATTAGCTTCGATTTTGTCATTTTTGCCCATATTACCACGGATGTGATTTCTTCATAAAACTTCCTATGCGAGTATACCGGTTGACTATGTATATTACAAAAATAGATTCAGATTTTTTTGATTTTTTCTAGCATTTTTTTAATTTATTATTCATAAAAGGTGTGTGCGCACCCATGTTCATCAAATTTGTGTCCATATAAATAACGCCATATAAAGATTAAAATATGGCACGATCCAAACAATAAGCATACCGCAAAAAAATCGTATGAGTGTTAGAGTCGGCCCGTGGGGTTGCATTCGGGTCGTGGGGTTGCATAAGCCACAGGTGACGACTTTGGCCTAATAAAAGGGAAAATCTAGCTAAACTATGGGCGTCCTTATTGGTTGTCCGACCTTCGAAGGAAAACTTGCAATTGAAATTAGCTACCCTGGCGTGAATCTCTTCAATAATAATTCCATGATGTCCTCTGTGCCTTCCTTCTATATCTTTCACAACGTATTGTGCGTCCGATGCAACAATTTTATTTTGAAGCCCAAGATCTACTGCAAGTGCAAAGGCTTCGCGGCAGCTAGGGAAGCAACTCCCAACAAACATTTCGCCCCCTCTTGATCGCTCGTTGGGGAGGAGGGAGGCCAAACCACGTTTGGCCCAAAGGACTAGTTATTTTTTTAATGCCATAAAAACATGGTTTCTTATCAAAACAAAGGAAATCATAAATTTATAAAAATGTCATTATTATGAAAATATGAAAAATGCCGCTACTTTCTAAAACTTCCATTTTTTCTAATTTATAAATTTACAATGGTATGTTTAAAAAATGTGCCACGGGATCTATAAAAAGATAAGGCCTCTTTTGGTTCATAGGATAGGATTATCGTAGGAATAGGAATTTTGTAGGAAATGAGATGACATGTATCTCAAATCCTATGAGTAGGATTAGGAAACGAGATGTCATTTGGTTGACACCAAAGGAATTTTTCCATCGAGTCTAGGCTCATTTTTATTTTTCTATGAAATGTGGAGGATAGGAACCAATCCTATGTAGGAATAGGAATCCATTCCTATGAACCAAAGGGCTCTAAAGGAAAAAATCCTATAAGAATCCTATCCTCTAGAATTACTATGAAATTCCTCCAAACCAAAGGAGGCCTAAATTTATGAAATTTGCCATGGAGATGTTTCACGGTGCAAAAATGCTATGTTTTTTGGATTTCCTTATTTTTGCCTAGACATAAACAAAAATGCCCATGTGTAAACTTTTGCTTTATTTGGTCCACTGCACAAAAAATTACTTATAAAAAATGTCGTGTCAATGAAGAAATTGCCATGTCAATACAAAATGAAATTTTTGTCCACTTAATAATAAAACCGTCATCCTCTTGATAATAAATTTGTCATACAAATCTATACCTACTAATAAAGGAAATAGGTACTCTTGGTCCATCATGCTATTTTGTATAAAACCTCATGGTGTTGCTGATAATCAACTTGTTGTCCAGTTTTAAATCGGATTTTTGGTTTCAAAGAGAACCCCCTGATGGTTTCTGGTATTCAACCCACGACTCAGTTTTATATGATGTTATTTTACATGTTAAACGTTAAAAAAATGCAATTTAGAATGCAACCTCAATCAATAGCGCATGATCCATCTTTCTTCATACCGGTGCCGATCCGGATTGTAAATGAACGCCATAGCAAAACTAGGATTGAAGATGAAACAAACATCTATAAAGACACATGCATACCTCATGAAAACCTCACATGAAAAAACCAGATTTCTCATCTTATGCAGAGACACGCCTTAGGATTGACAACATTCAAGCTTTTTTTGTGATTGTGTGAGAATTGAGGCCACTGTCGTCGAAGGGGGAGGAGGATAAGGGCAACACGGATGAGACGCCATGCGTTAAAATAAAGGACTTTGGTCTTGGGTCATGGTTATTGGATTAGGAAGTGGTATTTTTTTCTCTCATTGCAACGCACAGACTCTTTTGCTAGTAATAATAAAAACGTCACCCTCTCACTAATAGAATTGTCATCCTATTAATATGTAAACTCCATGCTCTCAATAATAAAAGAGTTATGCTCTTAATAAAAATGTCATGTTATTAATAATAAAAATGGCATGCTATTAACAATAAAACTGTAATCCTCTTAATAATAAAAATATTGTATTATTAATTATTAAAATGTCATGCTCTTAATAATAAAACTGCCATGTGAGGAGGTGTGGCATCGTGTGTTTGACCTGCTCGGACTTAATGTGGTAGGCACTACTACGAATGACACCTTCCCTGCTTGGTGGATGAGAGAAAGGAAGAAGTTCAGTGGAGCGGACAGAAGAGGCTTTGACACTCTCGTGAC